GGGAAATAAATTTCCAGGTGCCTTTTTTTTTTTTTTTGGGCAATGGAAACAAATTCTATCTATAATTATAACAAATTATATCCCTTTAATTGACAATTTCCTTGAAATCCAAAGCCAAACAAACACCAAATGATACAAAATTTCAACATTTTTTAGGTGAAAAATTATACCAATTAAACAAATTTAATTGACAATTCCCATAAAACAAGTTCTAGGCAATTCAATTCCTTAGAATTTATTTTCTTTCCACCCAAATTTCATCCTTGCAATTAAACGGACCCTTAATGTTCTTACTTTTTTGCGACTCGAGGTATTTGTCTAAGTTGAATATCAACTAGTGTTATGCGGTTAGATAGATTTCTCAATTACATTTGTTTGCCGACTCGTGATCGTAAATGTAACCTTTGAGGGACACTTCTTTGACATTATATGTCCAGTTACATTTAATTTGATTTGCCTAGTTTGAGAATGGTTGTTTTCATCATTTGGAATTTTCAGTGTTCTAGTACCGATTGGTCTTTTTTTAATTAAACTACTTTTTCTTTAACTTGGTTATTGACACGTGTTTTAATTATTACAAAAAAGGCTCCTGAGTTGCATATGGAGATCCACAAGCATGGTTTCGCTCAGCAGGCTATGGGAGCAGGTCCTTCAGCATCTACAACTACGAAGGTAATTTGTTCTCTACATCGATTCCTTTTGATGTTTCTTTCTTGAAGACTTAGTGCAAGCAATGCTGTTAAGTAACTGTTCAATTCACAATTGTTAAAAATGAGATTATTGATGACTTCTCACTTTCGCTTTCTTCATTTACAAGGTTCTGGAATGAAGTTCAAATTAAAATTTTTTATGGAGTTGCTTAATAACCCTGCATGATAGTCAAACATTTGTGGTTTCATTATTCTTGTTATTGGCTCTCTAAACCAGATGATATGTTTAGACATAACTTTTAAGCACGTTTTAGGAATTTTTTTTAATCTTTGGGGTATCTTTTCCAAAACGGCTTATGATTGGTTACTCATCAGCAATGAAGCAAGAACAATGAAAGTCTTTTGCCACTTCTATGTGCACCATGGTTATGCCTTTTTTGCACATCTTGAACTGCTTTGTTATGTTATTATATCGTGAACTTCTATGACCACTTCATTATTAGTATATTGTTTTCTTTTCTTTTTGCCTTCGGAATAGTGGTGGGGTGCTGAACCACATTCCAACCCCAGCCAAATGAAAAAAAAAGGGGGAAACAGATTTAAGTCCTGCAATGAGGTGACTTCTTGAATGAGGCATGCTTCTATGACTGTTTCGATCGTGTCGATGAAGGAATGGATGTTTGGGGTTCATTATAAATAGATTTTGAAGAAAAATGTGTTTTGAAAACGTGATTTTTTTTGGAGAATGTATGGTTAAAAAATAAGTCACAGTTTTTGGTTTACATGTAATAATATGTTATTGGAGAATGTGTAGTTGAAAATAAGAAAGAGAAAAGTGCATTTTTTTTTTTTTTTTCAAAAAATGAAGCACAAAAGGGCTAAGTTTCTGTCATTTTGAGAATCATTGTCATAAGATTCACACATTATTTGGTATAGAGTATGAGCAGGTTGCAAAATCAAAAGAATATTTGATTTTCTCTTGTGCATTTGAATGCTTGCTTTGCTGAAAATATTTCATGCATGATGTGTTTGCCCCCTTTTAAAGTTTTATGGGGATGAAAATGATGTATTAGAAGCATATACATATATATTAGTCTTTATTGGCCATTCTTTCTGGGATGATTTTTTGTGCTTCTCATTTTGTATGTTGTATTGGCGCATGTTCCCTCCTTGCTTCCCATTGAATGAAGCAAACTAACAAATAAAGCACATAAACTTCCTGATTATTAACCTTCTTTAATTTTCATTCTGTAGTTTAACTGATTTTTTTTGCTACTTGGACGGAATAAAGCAAATGAAGAAATAACCGTACAATCACATCATATATTTGCACAGAACTTTGATTGCCACTTCCCATTCTGAAAATAAAAAAATGGAACCTTTAAATCCCAAGGCATGCTGGATTTGTTGTTTTCCGATTGCTTATTATTGTATGTTATGTTTTCTACAGCAGCAGGGAACGAAGAAGAAGAAGAGTAGCGACCTAAAGTATGACATTTTTGGGTGGATAATACTTGCAGTCGGCATTGTTGCGTGGGTGGGATTTGCAAAATCTCACTTGCCTCCGCCTCCTCCAAGATAAGCTCGATATGTTTTGCCTTGGGTGACCTGCTTAAATTTTTTTTTAGATGGATCAAGTCACGGATAAAATACCAGTATGCCGCTGCCGCTAGTGAATTTTTGTCCCAGAGCTTGCTTTTATCAATGTTAACTAAATAAGAAAATATATGTTTGCATCCTGTCGTATTTTATTTTATACATTGTCATAAATGATTAGATTTATTGTGCCATGATATTTTGTTGATTCTGTTGTTGAGGTGGGATTTTGGGACCATTACCGTGATTGATTAAGCCTTATACGCTATGTACAAATTTAAGGGTCCGTTTGATTGTTAGAATAGAATTAGGTGGAAGGAAAACGAATTTCAAGGAATTGAATCGTCTAGAACTTGTTTTGTACCCCGTTTGAGCCTCATTATTTCTCATTATATTAAATTAAAATTTTCTCTCCCATACTTTTAACCACACAATCTTCAATAAAATAATATTACACGTAAATCAAGAAATTTTTAACTACTCATTTTTCAAAAAAATATTATTCATATCATTAAAATGCCAAATAATGGGATTGAAATAAACTATTATTGGGAATTATCAATTAAATATATTTGATTGGTAACATTTTTCACCAGAAAAATGTTAAATTTTTGGATCTTTTGATGTTCGTTTAGTTTTGTTTACTATCAATTAAAAGGATAGAATTTGTTACAATTGTCAAATAAAATAAAATTTAATAATTAAAAATAGTTGGAAAACACTTTCTCACCAAAATCAAAGAAAAATAATTTCCTTAAAAACCAAAAATTTTGGGTCATGTGGGAGGTAGGGTGGATAACGAATTTCATGAAAAATTTTGCCTATAAAGCAACACATTTGGTTGGAAAATGGAATACTTTCAATGGAATTGACTTGACCTAAAGATGAATCTCAGTTTTTTTTTTTTGGAAGATTTAGTGTATTTATGAGTTATGACAAATATACAAATAAAACAATAGTGCGTTTTGTGGGGGAAATACATGAAAATGGCCTAAATAAAAAGGTTACTTTTCCATTTTGGTCTTTGACCAATTCAACTAATAGAAAGTACCTAAAATACCCTAATATAAATATTTCATACAAATCACTACAATATAAAAATATTTCATTATAGTCCTTAAAATTAATCATTACTTGAATTTAGATAGATTTATTGCTTATACAGATTTATTTAAAAGATATAATATTAATACCAAATGAAATAAAAATAACAAAAGAAAAACAGTTAATAAAATTAAGATATGAAAAATTAAGACTATATAGTAAATTCTTTAAAATAGTAAAAGAAGAATTAGTAAATATAGATCTAACTAAAGAAAATTTTGGTAAAGAATAGAAGAAAAAGAAGATAAAAGAGGTAAATTAACTTATATGTTGGAAAGATGATTAGAAAAATTTAATATGTCAATAAGTGAATATATGGAAGAATTAAAATCATTAATAGATGATGTTCAAGATTTTAGAAATGAAGTAAAAGAAACAAGAAATGATATAAATATATTAAAAATTGAAATTAGAGAATTAAAAGAAAATAATAAAAATAAAGAAAAGAAAATAGATAAAAAATTTATAGCGAAAAAAATGACCAGAATAGGAAAGAGAAATATTAAAAAAGAAAATATAGTGATAGGAAAGAGGGAGTATGGATAATGAATTTAGAAAAAACATATTACCTAAAATATTCGAAGAAGAAGAATTTAGAGAAAAAATGTTAGAAAAATTAAAAATAAAATAAAAACAAGAAAATAAAGATGAATGAGGAATTAGATTTACTTAAAGAAATTTTTGATCAGTTAAGTTTAGATGATATAAGTGAATATCAAGTTTTAGTGAATACTGGAGGAGAACATAATCCAATAGGAACCTCTAAACAAGAATTACAAGAATCAAATGAAAGTTATGCATCCCCACTTAAATGAAATAAATATAAAGATAGGTTTGAATTAAATGATAAACCTATTAACCATGGAAAAACAAAATTAGATTTAAATTGTAAAATAGATACTAAAAAAGTCTTATTAACTTGGGCAGATTCAATAATATTATTCTTTTTATACAATAAAGATAACACGTGAGAAAATACTGAAAGAAGAATAGATTTTTTATTAGCATCATTTGAAGGGGATGTTAGAAATTGGTGAGAAGGAATAAGTAATGATACAAAAACATTAATCAAAAGAAATGTATAAGCAGAAATAATAAAATAAGATAAACATGATATAGAAAAGTTAGTAGAATATATTTCAGATGAATTTTTAGGAGAAAATTGAATAAGAAATATTGAAAGAGAATCAATAAGATAAAAAGATAATTCCAGAATTAAATTAATAAATTTAACAATATGTGATATGTGTAAAATTAAAGAATATACTTGTAAATTCAGAAATTATTATTATGTTCAATTTTATAGTAATGAAAATCAAGAAGTATACTAAAATATGTACTATAATAAGTTACCAGGTTTATTAGGAATATATTTTAAAATAGAATTTGAAAAATATATTAGAGATAATATTGAAATGCCTAGAACTTTAGACTCAAAAATAAATTTTTTATTTCAAAGACTTGTATATATATGTCAACAAAGACAATTATTAAAAAAATCAGGAAAACTAATTAGAATATGTTTTGAAGATATGAAAAATCTTATACAATGGGGATGTAATCCTGAAAGAATGATTAATAAAATAAAATATAAAAATAAAAAGTTTAAAAAATTTAGAAATTTTAATAAAAAATATATAAAACCTAAAAGAAAATATTATAAAAGAAAAAATAATTCATATGGTCAACAGAAAAATAAAAATTATAAGAATAATTAAAGCCAATATAAATGCTGGAATTGTGGGGAAATAAGTCATGTTGACATCAAAATTAGCAAGGCTAATCTTAAGCCAACTTTAAGAAAAAAGGCGATTTATTGTTGAAAAAGACCACAAAATATGTTTAGAAAGTGTAATTGTGCCATTAGTTGTTATATGAATTCACTTGCTCTTTATAAGAGTCCTATTCAACTATTTATACATAATTTCAACCGAAATCACATCAAATCAGTCAAATCAACAACAGTACCAAGCTCAGAACTCGGGTCGTCGAATTCTCTTGTGATTGGTCGACGAGGCCGGTGGCCATGTGTCAATGTTTCCCCAAGTAATGATGACCTGCAAGGGGCTTGAGGATTAAGACTTAGGATTGGTAGTTTCAGGCGGCGATGATGTCACCTGCGGTAAGTGTATTTAATTGATAGGGTGATGTGATAGGGGGTAATGATGATATTTTTCTAAGATAACGGCAGGATTGTCTGACCTGGGAGTAGGAACCGAACTCCCATTTGCCTGAGGTGGGGTTAGCGAACTGTTTTAACTTAGATCAGTGTTCGGTTGTCAACAATTACCCCCCATGTCAGTTCTGTCGTAGGGGGGCTGACCTTAGTGATGCTTTCTCCAAGAAGTGTATTTATTGCTGCGCCAAGTGTCATCTTTTCACGGGGATGAGATTTACGGCATTTGTAAGTAGCTTCTTCAGCAAGTTTGGTTAAAACTACATAATTTTGGTCTCTCAGGCTTCTGAGTTGTTGATTTTCCCCCCCATTTCTGGATAGACGATTCAAATCGCGCCCTGTCAGTTTCTCTTTCTTTAAATTCCTTTTGGCCAGTCATTTCGCCTCCTATTTCGCTGGTTTATTCTCTCTCAAATATTCGGGCAATCTCCTGAGTTCGTTTTTCCATTTTCGAGTGAGGTCGTTTTCCTAGTTCATTTCCCAGGTATTCTTCTGTTCTTATTTTTCTTCCTTCTTTCAGTTTGTGCTTTGTTTCCTAGTTTATACATGAGTTCGGACGAGTCTAGAGTTCATTCCTGAGGAAACCAGCAGGAAGAGTTAGTCCCCCTTTCGACGAGTTCGTCCTCTAGTTGTAGGAAGTTTTCACCCCTGTTCCTATTTCCATAATTAACCCAATTGACTTAGGACGTCCTGTTATGGACTTTGGACATGAGGGTTCCAAGGGAGAGGGTAGATCCAATAAGGATGTTGAGGAGAGTAATTCTGTAGAATGGGGGGCGAGTTCTTACAGGTCGGTCGTAACAGGGGATATGTTAGCCAGCTGGCGAGCTAAATACGCTATCCCTAGTTCGGTAGTGATGATAATACCATAACCATTTGACCGAGCTGACACTCTTCCTGGGGGATGTGTTGCTCTGAGCTCAACTATCCTTCAGGTCGGCCTTAGACTTCCCTTTCCTAGGGCGATTCGTAAATTCCTTTCTTCTAACGGGTGGCGAACCTTAATTGCCGCCCTTATTTTGTAGGTCCAAATAGGGAATCGTGAGCTTACTGTCCAGCAGTTCGACTCTCTGTTTACTTTTAAGGAGGATGGGAAGAACTCGGGTTAGTGGTACACAAGCGTTAGGCCCAGGACGAAAGGTTTTCTGGTGTTAAACACCCCTTCCTCAATTAAAAAATGGAAGGAAGAGTGGTTCTATGTATCGGGGGAGTGGCAGTTTTATTCTGCCGAGGTGAATAGAGAGGACGTGGTCCCCAGGCTCTATCATTCTTTATGTAAGTGTTTTTGGGCTTTAGTCTTTTAGCAAGACGTATGTTGACGAATTACTGACCTCGGTATTTTTCCTTTGTGCAAATTACAAGAAGGAGACGTTAACCAAAGATACGCAGAGACGAGCTGAGGTAATAAGATTGTTACCCAAAAGGCAAAGGTCCTGTAAGTTTGTGATCTCAGATCCGAACTTATTCCGAGCCGGCTTGGTGCAAGTATGAGCTTAAAGTTCGGCTCCTTCCAGTTCAGGTAATATTTTGACCCTCATTCACGGTGTGTGTATATATATATATATATATATATATTTATTTATTTATTGAGCGTTTTACTATTTTCTCAGCTTATCAAGACAAGATGTGGGGCTACAAGGCAGCAAAGGCAGCGGCTACGGTCAAAGGAAAAAAGAGAGATGTCCCAGAACGGTAGAAGAGCCATTCTAAAGAGGTGGAAGAGGAGGTTCCACTAAAGAGGAACTGATCTACGCCCCCGGTAGCACTGAGGATTCTTGAGGCTGTGCCTTTACCGAGCTCATCTCCTACTCTGTTGCCGACTTCTTTACCATCCCCAGTTGCACCCTCTGTTGTCGAGACCAGTTCGGTGAACTCGCAGGAGAGGTGCCCAGATTTACAGAGGCCAAGCTTGGAGAGTTTGGTGGGACAC